TGATCCTGCGTGACGTCCAAGTATCCACTTTGTTTGATTTCGCATTTCATTTGAAGTTGATAACTATATGGCGTTGTAACTTGTAGTTCCTTATTTTATTTCCTATTTTAAGTTACAAGATGTTAACTTTGAGAATTCGTGCTTTATGCGTTGTATTGGAAGTTCTAATGTTGGTTAAATTACATCGGTATGGTAAATTCTGTTTTGTTGTTCTAATGTAGCCTAGGACGATTCCTTAAACTCATTTGGAACGTAGATGCTAGGTGGCATGAACCACTTTAGTTGATTTCGTATCTTGGACTTCAAGTTAATGATTTTGAGGATCTATATCTCGTTGCATGGTATAGCATGCTTTTATATTATTTAATTACATAAATATTATAGTTTATGCTTGGAATGCTTTGAAGTAGCTTAGGATGATCCCTGAGTCTCACTTTGACATAGACGTTAGGTGGCATGACCCTTTTTGAATTGTTCCAAGTTATGTAAAAATCTCTAAAGAAATCAAGTCTTTGCATGCTCATTCTCTACGAGCAAATTTGTTTACTCACCCCGAAGTTACTGGGGGTTTTGTTTAGGTACGAAGACTTGGTTCATGATGCTCATCATTCCTTCGACGACTTATAGCTTTTAAGTTTCCATTCCACGCAATTGTTAGCATGAAATGTCATTTTGTAGCCTTATATGTCAAAACTTGTATTTATTGTCTAAGCTATGTAATGTGCACTTAAGTGCACCTTTTGACACTCTTTGGATGGATATGTAATGAGGCCAAAGGCCAAAGGCATCTATATGACATGTATGTTGGCTTAACTTCATAGTTTGTTTATAGAAGATATAAGATTTCAAGGATTGAACATAAATTGTAAATGACATGCCATGAGGCCTTAAGGCCATCTTTTGCTCTCTTTTTTTCTTGATTAATTAGATTGCACCCTTAAGTATGTTCCAAACACTTGAAAATGATTAGTTAAGCTACCTAGGTTCTTGAGACTTGTTTTCCAAATTCTGTTTCTACGTTTTGGGGTTCAAAATTCGCAGCCGGGGTAGCAACTGGTGGGCCCCCATTGATTTTGGTGGGGCCCCGCGAAAATATCCAGCCCACTATGGGATTTAGCGGGCACCTATAGGATTTGTGCATGTTTTGGGTGGGTGCCCGCCATGGCAGGTCCTGCTCCAAACATCTTCCTTCAGAGGGCCATATCTCACTTGTTTCAACTCTGAATTGGTCCATTCTTGAGTCAAAACTGACTGCATCGAAATAAGCTTTCCAATGGTATCAATTAGAGCTTTAGATTCTATTTTTAACTCAAGTTATTCAAGTTTTAGTGAGGTAGTGTTAGGATTTGGTTTGAACCGGAAAGGGGTTTTCTTTCCTTAACTTCAAGACTTGATATCTTTTCCGTTTGGACTCCGAATCAAGTGATTCTTGAGTCTAACTTCATTAATTTTTTGTTTTCTTTCCAATGGTATGCTTGGTAGCATCCATTTATCTATGAAATGACTATTTTTCCCCTAGGTTCATTCTTATCCGTTTTTGAATCGTCGCTTTCGCATTTGTATTCCTTAAGTTTCGTGACCTCATTAACGATCACATTGGTGTCCTAAAGATGTGTTGAATCTCTAGAGACCATTGTTTTATCTTTTGCTTTCGCATTCTGTTTTTGTCAACAAGTCTACGTTCGGTTCATCACAGGACGCACTGACCTAAAAACCAGGGCTGTCACATACTTCTTTCTCTTCATTCTCCTCATCCTCATCTATATAAATTGAAGTTTCTGCCATTTTTTCATTTACCTCTTCCTCCTCCTCTTGACACGAAAGAGTACTTACAATTTGCTCAACTTGAGGTTCTAATTTGGCTAAAGTTTGAGAATGAGAATTAATATGTTGTGTTTGTGAAATATGCACATCAAGTAAAGCTAACACTTTATCTTCAAATCCGAGTGAGTACCTAGAAGGTGTAGCTGGTTCATCATAAAATGGTGGGGGAGGGTAATAGTCACAAGGAGGATCAAAAGAGTGATCAAGTCCATAATAAAACGATGAAGCTTGAAATAAATTGGACTCGATCTTATAAGGATTAAAATATGATGGAGGAGCATAAAGTGAAGGGATGTAATTTTCCCCCAAACTTGGATTAAACAATTCCTCCATTCATAATCCAAATGTAAGAAAATATTAGCCTCACTACGGGTGTATGATATTGCAATAAAAACAAGGCATCCACACGAGCTGATGCTTGGACAAAAATTAAACAATTTAATTAGCCTCAACAAGGGCTATCTCAAGCATACAAAAAAGTGAAACAATCAAGCTACAAGATTTTAAAGAATCACTTACAAAGCTCCTTAAGCAACTTCAAATTCTAATGCTAGCTTTAAGCTCCAATGATTGGTTTAAGATCCAATGTTTGCCTTCCTTGTAGTCAAGTACCTAATTGAGCAAACAATATCAAGAATGAGAAAAGAATAAACAATAGAAAATAAAATAAAAATAGAAGGAATCAAATGAACACTATTGCCTAATCTAATTCCAACAAAACCATTAATCCTCGGCAACAGCGCCAAAATTATGATGCAACCCGAGCGTGTGCACAAAATAATGCACAACACTTTGACTTTAGAAATTAGTGTCAAGTGGGCATCATACTTTAAATTTATAAACCACTTAACACCTACACTATGTAGTATAAGTGAGAAGGGATCATCCCAAGAGATTATACATACTGGAATTTTAGCTTCGACTTTAGTGATTTAAATGATTGCAAAGAGATTTGGGTTGGTGATTAAACTACTTCAATTAATGAAAATGTAATTAAAATAAAATTAAAATTGAGCTAAGGATTTAAGATATGAGAATTGAGTTCTTGGGGTGCATTGGAATCACCACCAAACTCATTCACCAAACCACACACTTTCAACTAATTTGGGGAAAACTTTCTTGTGAACAAAATACGACTACCAATTGCAATATTAAGCATGGACCATCAAATTCAAGTATGAATTGTTTACCTAACCAGCAATTAAACTAAGTGTAGAATAACCCATCAATCCTAAGCATGACCCATCAAACTAGTAACAATTATAGCACATATAAATCTAGAGAATCATGGAATTTGCAATAATAAGCCATGGAATATCAAATCAAGTAATAGATTGTCTACTTAACTACAAGCATGAATTAAATTGTAGAACAACCCATCGAGTATAATCATAACCCATCAAATTAATTGACAAACCCATTCAATGAAAACCATGTATAGCCATAATTAAATCATTATTTCATCACACATAGACATGTAACAAACATAGAGAAAATAGTGTAGAGATCAATTCCCCAATAATCACACATAAGACAACATGTAATTACAGAGAGAATTAGATGGAAGTATTTAACCATAGAAATCAAAGGAGAACTCAAGATTCATTAAATTCACAAGGCCAAAACATTAATCACAAGATATTATTCCCAAAAATTATGAAAAAGATAGAGGTTTAGATTTACAAACTTGGGGCTCATCCAAGCCCGAAGGAGAAGTCAAGCCAATCATGGAGGAGGTTGATGTGACATTGAAACCCTCAAGGCAATCCCCAAACATGGCTCCATCTTCTTCCTCTTCTTCTTTATTGAATTCTAGAAAGAGTGTGAAGATCTTGAGATGTGTTCTTGGTGCCTCCACTCTTCACTTTTCTTCTAACCCCAATCTCTAACTTTTTTAGAGAGAGAAACTAACTATTACAATGTAAAAATAAAATAAAATTGAAGCCCTTTTACAAATGGTTTAATTCCCCCTTTATACAAGCTTCTTGAAGTAATGAACAAGTCAGAAAATAAGCCATTAAAATATCTAATCCCACTGCTATGTGGTAAGTGGAGTTCGGGCACGCGGGAATAAAACAGCTCACTGCTAGTGTATCTTCGATCAATCTAAGAATATCTTCGATCGATTGAAGAATTCTTCGATCGATCCAAATCACTGGTGGCGAAATTCTGCATTTTTTTACATTTTTTTGGATTTTTCTAGAATCTTCTCGGAACTTTTGCTTGACTGCAAAAAAGCTGTAATGGACCAATTTTAGCAAGTTTGAACCTTATTGACCTAAAAATAGACAAAAACATAAATTAGTACTAAAACAGAAAAATAAAGATAGATGAATGGACTAAAATGATCACATTTGAGCACTCATAGGCAAGCAAAGCATAATAAAAATAAATAAATAAAATAAAATAAAATAAAAAAAGGCATAAAAATTCTTGAAGTTACTGAAGGACCTTTGTGAGCATTTCAAAATCCTCTTGCTTAATTAATCATCAGCCCATGTGAAGGCCTTGTTATTAGTGTTAAATCATCGACCTGTGTGGAGGCCCTTTAATTTTTGCATTGTTGGAAAGCATGGGAGTATGGGAACGATGTATGTGGAGGTTTTTTGCTGATTGTTGATTGTTATAGAGGTGGAGTTCTTGTTTTTGTTGTTGTTGTTGGTGTGTTGACTAAATTTTGTGCGACTCTTCCCACTCTTCATCTTCATCACTCCAATGGAAAATCTTGATGATAATCTTGGTTATCTAGACCCAAATTTCATCGAACATCCCCCTCTTGACCAATTCCATCTCGGAGTTGAAGCTCCAAATCCTCTAATGGCCCTTCGTGATCATTACACTCCCAATAGTACCATGCACTGACTTGCATCATGCTTCCTAATTTTAGGGCCAACCACTAAGAAATCAAACCCAAGACCATTCAAATGTGTCCGCTTTTTATGGGTTAGATAATGAGGAACCATATAAACACTTGGGTGAGTTTCTTGAGGTGTGCTCCACCGTGAGATACACGGATGTCCGAAAAAAGTCTTTAAGTTAATTCTCTTCCTTTTCACTCTTAAAAACAAGGCGAAATATTGGTTTAATAATTTAGAGGTGAGTACAATAACTTCTTAGGCACAAATGCAAAATGAATTTTTGAAAAAGTATTACCCCGTGAGTCTAACTAATTCAATAAGAACAGCCATTAGAGAATTTTACCATAAGGAGGGGGAGCTTCTACATGAAGCATAGGAGAGATTGAATGAGTTGCTAAGGAAGTGTCCACATCATGACATTCCGAAATGGCAAGTAGTTCAATATTTATATAAGAGCCTATCCGATACCCATAAGGGTATAGTTGATGCTTCGTGTGGAGGTTCATATTTTGGAAAACATGAGGATGACATTTGGCGCCTCTTTGAGAATATGAGCAAAAATTCAATGCATAAATCTCAATCCTCTTGGGTGAGTCATACCTCTAATGTGAGAGGGAAGAATTTAAAATTGTGTCAAATTGAAAGTCCAATGGAGATTGTTACCGAAGTGAAAACTCTTACCCAAAGACTTGATTAATTTTTATTAAGTCAAAAACCGGCAATCCAATAATTTTATTCTTCCCATCATCAAAATGAACTATGTATTACATGTTCGAGTTTGCTTCACAATACTTCCAATTGTCCCTATGGACATGTTCAAAGTAAGCAACATGAATAAGTTAATGCTACATTCGCATATCCCTATTCCAATGCTTATATTCCGGTGTGGAATGAGATTTCAAGCCCGTCACAAAGTCAAAATTTCCAAGGAAGGTGTGTTCCTCCTTATGTGAGAAATGAAAATTCTCAAAGGTTCTATCCATCCTCCTTTCATCATCAAAATATGAATCACTTCTCTCACCCTCAAGCTTACAATTCTCAAGTTTATTCTCAGTAATCTCAAGAACTTCTTAAGAATCCCACCTTTGAGGATAAGGTTTTGGCGGCCCTGGGTGGCTTAAAAGCAAACACCAAATTATTGCACTCTCACTCTCAATCTATCTCGAAGCTTAATGATGAGTGCTCAAGTGTGATGCATTTTAGCACCTAAGCTAGGTATTTTAGTCCATTCATCTATCTTACTTTCATGTTTTAGTACTACTTTATGTTTTTGTATATTTTTAGGTCAATAAAGTTCAAACGGGCTAAAAATGGTTCATTACACCCTTTTTGGAGTCAAGCAAAAGTTCCGAGAAGTTCTAGAAAATCCGAAAAAAGGTCAAAAATGCAGAATTTCGCCATCAGTGGGTTCTTTGATCGATTGAAGATATGCTGGCAGCAAGCTATTTTATTCTCGCGCGCCCAAACTCCACCTACCACATAGTTGCGGGATTAGATATTTTAAAGGCTTATTTTTTGACTTGTTCACTATGCCAAGGACCTTGTATTTAAAGGGATTTGAACCATTTTGTAAAATATCTTTTATCTTCAATTATTATTTTATTTTTACATTGTAATAGTTAGTTTCTCTCTTTAGAAAAGTTAGAGATTAGGGTTAGAAGAAAAGAGAAGAATGGAGGCACCAAGAACACATCTCAAGATCTACACACTCTCTCCCTCTAGAATTCAACAAAGAATAAGAGGAAGAAAATGGAGCCATGTTTGGGGATTGCCCTTGAGGATTCCAAGATCACATCCACCTCCTCTATGATTGGCTAGACTTCTCCTTAGGGCTTAGATGAGCCCCAAATTTGTAATATAAACATCTATCACTTTTATACTTTTTGGGGAATAATACCTTGTAATTAGTGTTTTAGCCTTGTGAATTTAATGAACCTTGGGTTCTCCTTTGATTTGTATGGATTAATTCTTTCTATTGATTCTCTATATGATTACATGTTGTCTTATATGCGATTATTTGGGAATTGATCTCTACACTAGTTTTTCTATATTAATTGCATGTCTATGTGTGGTTGATTGAGAATCTAGTGATGGCTATGCATGGTTTTCATTGAACGGATTTGTCAATTAATTTGATGGATTATGCTTATACTTGATGGGTTGTTCTACAATTTAATTCATGCTTGTAGTTAGGTAGACAATCTATACTTGATTTGATAGTTCATGGCTTATTATTGCAAATTCCATGATTTTCTCGATTGATGTGTGCTACAATTGTTGACTTCTTTGATGGGTCATGCTTAAAATTGATGGGCTGTGCTACATATTAGTTTATTTGTTGGTTAGGTAGACAATTCATTCTTTAATTTGATGGTCTATGTTTAATATCACAATTGGTAGTCGCATTTTGTGACGACCCTGGTTTTTTAGGCCTGCGCGTCCTGTGATGAACCGAAGATTGACCCAATAACGGATCCGAATGCAGAAGCGAAAATAGAAAACAAGACTCTAAGAAGTCAAAGTGACCTTCCATAAGGTCGTGGAACTCAACAAGAACAGATGCGGAAGCAAAAGATCGAAAACATGACAAATAAGCCCCTAGGGGCAAAATATTCATTTCTAAAAATAGTAGATTCGGGTGCCACCAAGCACACCGCTGGAAGGACAACGAAAAACTAATCAAGATGGACTCAAGAATCGCATGATTTGGAGTCCGGACGAAGGAAAAACGGCATGACGAAGAAAAACGAGCACTTAAGGCAAAAAGGGTAAACTGCTAATTATCAAGGAAGAACCGGGTGTAATTGAGGATACCGTTGCAAAGACAGCAAAAAATTAGTCAAGTTCAAACAAAAAATTCACTTGAATCAGAGTCCGGACGAAGGAGAAACACCCAAAAGAAGAAATGACGTTGCGATGGCCCGACGAGGGGCCATGACAGCCCCATGCGCATGCCCATGCGTGCGCCCAGGCACGCTGCACGCGCGCTGGGTGCACCATGGCTGGCAGCAGCAGCCATAAAGCTGCTATGGGGTAATTTTTCAGAAAAATCCAGAACAGAGGCTCAATTTGGAGGCCTAGATGAACTTTTTTGCAAAAACACAAAGAAGAAACCCCCCTCAAAATCGAGTTTTCTACATAATATACAAGAAAAATCGAAAAAACCTCACTATGAAATGCCCAAAATGCCCTCCCAAGAAAACTGGTCAAGAGGGTCCAAAAAGCTGCTAAATTTAAAAACTGAGAGCTGAACTTCGGATGCGATTTCCGATGCCAAGATGGCTTTTTCTGGAAAAACACGAAAAAGAAACCCCTACTAAAATCATGTTTTCTATTCAACTATGTTGAAAGAAGAAAATAAAACCACCGTGAAAAGTATTTAATGCCCCTAAATCAGAATATGCAAAAAAAGTGCGAAATGAATTCACAAGAGGCTCAAAACACCTACGATAAGGTTTTGCCCGGAAATGACAATGCACGCAAGCGTAACTTACCTATATGGACATGTTACAATGGTCCACGACTTAAAAATACCACCGATACAAAATCCGACCCCCCAACGGGCAAAAAGGCAAAAATGGAACTTGGAATGAAAACTCGGAATCAAAAAATACAAAACGGGATCAAATGACCGTTTGGCCCTTGGCCACACTTCAAACATGATTAATAAGACCCTATGAAAGAATGAAAATGGAATTCCCACACCCGATGCAACCATGGTGAAGCAATGACTTGCGATTTTTCAAGGTTTTCATAATATTTCATAAAGTTAAAAAGTTGTATAAAATACAATACACATGTCATTGGCCTCCGGCCTCATCTCATACATATCAAATACATTGAAAGGAATGCACTTATGTACACATTACATACATGGAATCAAATATACATATTTTGACATATAAGTCTACAAAATGACATTTCATGCTAACATTTGCATGAAAAGGAAACTTAAAAGTTACACGACATCCAAGGAACGCTAGGCGTCACAAACCAAGTCTTCGTACCTGAAATATGCCCCAGTATCGTAGGGGTGAGTAACATAAAGCTACTCGTAGGAGATGAGCATGCGTCGACCTAGCATTTTACAAATTTATCACCTTAAGGTGAAACATGTTAAAGGGGTTCATGCCACCTAACGTCTATATCGAAATGAGACTCAGGGAGCATCCTAAGCTACGTTAGAGTGTTTCTAGCACAAATCACATCATCTATGCCATTTAAACAATATGGAAGCACGTTATACAAAGCAACAAGATATAGGTTCTTAAAGGTATTAACTTACAGTCTCGAATACAGAAATAACTAAAGTGATCATGTCACCTAACGTCTATGTTCTAAGTAAGTCTAAGTAATCATCCTAGGCCATGCTGAACAATCAAAACGCAATTTACAACTTCAATGCAATCTAACCACATAATAGTATATTATACAAGGCAACAAAATACAATTTCTTAAAGCTATCAGCTTGAAATCTAAAGCACAAAAACAACAGAAGTGGGTCATGCCACCTAACGTCTAAGTTATAAATGAATCAATATGATCAATCCGAAGCTTTATTAGAACGTCAAAACACGATTTTCAATATCGATGCAATTTAACCAACATTGGAATTTTCAATACAACGCATAAAGCACAATTTCGCAAAGTTAACATCCTGTGACTTAAAATGGAGCGACAATTAAGAAACAACAAGTTACAACATCATCTAGTTATCAACTTGAAAATGAAATGCGAAATCAAACAAAGTGGATACTCGGACGTCACGCCGGATCAGACCGACAACATAGTTACTTTAGGGTTACTAGCCCATGGGTAACCTCCCTATGTGCGCACTAGACCATATAGATGGACTATCTCCCGTACTAGAACCATGTCCTAGCCATAGTTAAATAACGACATCCTCAAGTTTCCAAAATCAACAAGTTGTGCAACAATGCATATATCAACAGGAATATGCAAGATAATCTACTATCTACTAAGCACAACCAAATTTGGAAACCTATACAATATATGCTCTAAATCCACAGCTAATATGATATGATGAATGTCGAATCTTCAGTGTGCGATTCGTTACATGCTATGCATGAAAGATGTTAAACACGAAGTGTGCAAATCATTACACAAGGCAACAATATATTCAATAAGGAAAACAAATTCTCGTGAATACAAACATAGCAACTATGTTATCCAATGTTCAAAACAGAACCAAATGAATATACAACAAGTTTAAGTCCATGATTTGAATATAGAAACCACTTCTAAAACACAACTAGATCATGGAGCAAATTGATAGAATTTAATTAGATAAACACAATTAAATTCTATAGATTTCGATTCAGTTCTAATTAACCTCAATTTAACACATGTTAAAGGACATGGCAAAGTCATCACCTACATCCATTCTAAAACTTAATTAG